TCGTCTTGGGTAACAGGAGCCAGACAAATTCAGAACTAGCAAATAGGACAGCAACCCAGAATAAACCTTTCAAAGTTATGGTTATAGGTTGATATGCCCCCAAATATTTCCTGACCTCTGTTGTCAACTTAGCAAGGAGCCTTGAAACTTTTTGGGGCAGCCCATTCAGCGATGTGAGGACACCTCTCAAGTGCCAGTCATATCTTTGTTCCATAACCTTCTGGGCAACCTAGGGGTAATGGCAAAACTTGTTCTATCACTGCACACTGTCTCTCTTTTGCTCTGTCTTGCTCATCAGAAATCCATTACTTTTCTGTCAGGGTTAAGGAAGAGGCACAGAAAATCACTTGTAGAATTCAGAATGGGATTCTAATCTGAGTACCACTCCATTACCCCTACCCCCACCCAAACCAGTAATTAAGCTTTTTTGTCCCTGTAGTGTTGTATAGTGTCTTATGACAATAAGACACTATATTGTCTGAGTTGGCTTTAATTAAGTCAGGGTTCAAATATCTTAAGTACTGCTGGGTTTATTGTAATGAATGGTAGAGGTTTATGAAAAGACAGATGGCTTCCTCATGGTAAGGCCAGGGAGATCAGACATACCTACCATCAAACAGCCTGTTCTTACTTATTTTGCAGGTTGTATTAACAGTAAAATGGGATAACGTGACAACGTTCCAAATAAAGTTCTTTGACACTAAATGGTGCTTTCCAGCCTTGAGTTATGTAGTGAATATTTGGAGAAATAGTCTGACATTGATGTTTGAGATGGATTACAGTGTTATGAGGTAGTGGTTGTTTGGAAGGCTGTTTTGCTGACCAATTTAAGTCACTTTTGAGGAGCTACCCTGTAGAAAGATGGGGAGAGCATAATAAAGTACAGAATGCAGTCTCTGGAGATTCTAATGCAATAGTTCTACTCTGCCTGCACAACTGTATTTCTTTGTATTAATAAGCTGTGTGGGTGGTTCTCATACACTGCTTGAATTTAGAACTTGCTTATTATATATTGGCGGTGGGAGTCAAGGTACGAAACATTAGTGACTAGAACTGTGGAGTGAAGGGAGAAGAACAGATGTAAAGCCATGCAAGTTTATCACACTAAAGAATAGATAACAAAAATGAAAAACAGAAATTTGTCAGGACTTGGTGTCTACAAATGGGAATCTGAAAGAAAAATATCAATAATATGTTTTGGGTAATTGTACTGACAGTATAAGTAATTAGGATGTTGAGAAAAGATATGTATTATACGATTTTTTAGGCTATTACAACTAAGAAATATCACCAATGTTTCTCATAGTTTATTTGAGAAAATTTGAAAGATTTCATGGTGGGTATATTTAAAAGATATGGGGGGAAATGTAAGGTGGTTAAAGTGAGGACAGCAGTAGTTGAATTGTTTCCACTTACTTGACTTGTATAATGTAACCTCTCAAGCACTTTGTGAGCTAATTTAGTATTTCAGAAATAGTGAATCATATATTACTCATTTTAAGGACATACAAATTAAATCTCCATTGCCTTTGGCTGGAATCATATCAGCTCAGTGTTTAAATACTAGGCCTTCCTTATTGATTAAATACTTTGCTAGCAGTGATACTTTTTGATTTCTTATAAAAGTGAAAATGAATTGACTTAATACATGAGGATTAGAAACATGGAGCTTGTGAAAGGAAAAATAAATAAAAAGAGGGAATCTTGCTTAAAAGGTTGATAGAGAATATTTTTATTATATGGCTTTATCCATGTACTTGGAGTTGATGTCTTTGGCTTTATTACATAGAAACACAGTTTGTATTTTAGTGCATAGTTCTCAGTTGAGTAAATATATGAAAACTCCACAATAACTGCTATTACTTGTCCCAAAAAGTCATACGTTTTTTTCCCCTTTTATTTGTTTATTCTAAGTGTTAATGTAGACCAGGTGCTAACTTTAAGGTTTTTAAAATTTTTTTTATTATTAGTTTCAGGTATACAAAACAATGTAATAGTTATACACGTCACCCTTCACAAAGGGATAACCCCCCTCCCCCATCTATTGCCCCTCTGACATCATACATATCTATTACAATTCCATTGACTCTATTCCCTATACTATACTCCACATCCTGTGACTATATATATGTATTAAATTATAGTTGACATACTCTAGTATTCCGCTTCAGCTTCAGGTGTACAGTGCAGTGATCAGGCCTCTACACCGTCCATGAAGTGGTCTCCCTAACAAGACGTGCCCATCTGATACCCTACAAAATCTTTACAACTTTATTGATTATATTCCCCAAACTGTGTCATATTCTTGTGATGATATTGTAGTTACTAATTTATGCTTTCTAATCCCCTGAAAGTCACACTTTTTCATTGATTTTATTGCTTCTAAGTTTTTTGTTCCTGTTTTGGTTTCGATAGTTAATAACTTGAAGCAGTATTAAGAACATTTCTGGACGTATCTTTACTACTCTTTTCCTCAACTTTTAGAACAGTGCTTGATGCTCAGTAAATGCTTGTTGAATGAAATAACAAAATACTGCATGTAAATAGTAATTAACATTGAAGTAAATGTTAGGGTATAAGGGAATTAAGAGAATTGTGCTGTGAGGCCTAGCACCAGAGTGATTTATGTTTATTTTGAGATTTAGATTATTAGCAATACTGAAAACATAGATAATACTGTACCTATCCATACAGGTGTATTTCTTTGTTTTCTTATCTAGTTGACATTCAGCTTTTTTTTTTTTTTTTTTTTTAGCTGAGCCATCCTGCCACCTGTTGGCAGCTCAGCGGCTGCTCAGCTCGGGCTGACTCGAACCGCTGTTGCTCAGAGCTCAAACTCTTGAGCGAGCTCTTAACCAACTGAGCCACTCAGCCGGCCCTGACATTCAGCTTTTTTACCTATCCTCTTATTTTGGTGTTTTGCACTTCGTTACTGAATAAAATTTTTTTAGCCATTAAGTAGTGGTATGAAATGGGTTGCAATAGCAAGGAAACTGCTGAGTGACCAAGAGAAGTAGAGAACCTTAGGCCTCTTCTCACTGGCACTTCTGCCATGTTGTCTAGGAGCTACAGATTAGATTAGGATAGTTTGTAATTTCATTAGCTCATAGTTTTAAGTCCTCCAAAGACTGAAGCCAGATAAGGAAGCAGATATATTTATTAGAGCGAGGAGTGTGTGTGTGTGTGTGTGTGTGTGTGTGTATGTGTATGTGTGTCTGTGTCTGTGTGTTTGTGTAGGGGAAAGCAATGCTACCTGGGGAGTGGGATTAAATTCTCACGTAGAGAGTATCCTACGCGACTCAAGAGGAAAGTATGCTAGTGCTAAGGAATTATAAAATAGAAACTCTCTGGTCTTAATCCAAACCCCAGTGTTTACTCAGCTCTCTCTATCTCACATGTAGTAATTCAAGGTAGTTTCATTTGGAACAATTTAACAAATACTTATGGATTACCAGCAGTGTGCGAGACACTCTGAGTGCTAGACCTGTACTAGTGAACAAAATATACAAAGTCCCTGTTCTCATGGAACTTAACTTTTAAATGGGGTAAATAGAAAATAACAAATATATACTATGCCAGGCAGTAAAAGATGCTTGTTTCAGATATCTCTTGCTGTGGAACCAACTACCCCAAATTTATTGGCTCAAAAACGATGATTTTATTGTTTCTTATATTGGGTTGTTGGAAAAGTCTAGACGTATTTTTTTCTATGTTTTTCATTGCAAAAATGCATCATGACTTTTCCAACAACCCAGTAGTTCAGTGGTTTGAACGGGGCTCATCTGCATAATTAACTGGTCTCTCTTGGGGTCCCTCATTAGCAGCTGGGCCTGGAACACTTGACATGGTTCACTCACCCAACGTGGCTGTTGGATGGTTCTGGTTGTTGCTTGGGTGCTCAGCTGAGGCGTCAGTTTTTTTCCCTTGGCCTCTCCTTGTGGCTTAGGCTTTCACAGCATGATGGCTGGGTTTCAAGAGGGAGTGTTCAAACAGTGCAAAGGCAGAAGCTGCAGCTTTTTAAAGGCCCAGTCTCAGAAATTATATTGTCACTTCCACCACATTTTATTGGCCCAAACAGGTCACTGGGGAGGGAAAATAGACTCCACCTTTTGATGGGCAGTGATGACAAGATCACATTGCGAAAGAGCACATGGAGTGGGAGATAATGCTGTGACCATCTGTGGGAACAATCTACCACAGTGCTATTAAACAATAAAAACGTAAGCAGGTTAATAGGGGGATAGAGGAAATGTGGGAGGGGGGCAGAAAGTACATTATTCCGTAGGAGATTAGGTGAGGCCTCCTTGATGAGGCAGCATGAGAGAGTGAGCCACGAGCACCATATAGACATCTTCCGGAAGAATATTGCAGGCAAAGGGAACAGGAAATACAGACGGAGCCTTAAGGTAGAATTCCTGGTGTGATCAAGGAACAGCAGGGAGGGCCATGTGACTGGGGCGGAGGGATAGAGGGAGCATGGTAGCTTATGGAGTCAGAGGGTAAGTGAGAAATGGACTTCGGGTCTTCTGTGAGTGAGATGGGAAGATTATTGAAGGATTCTGAGCAGAGGAGCTCAGTGATCTGACTTGAATTTTAAAAGGATCCTGTTCTGAGAATCTCTGGCTACTGTTTTGACAATAGACTAAGAGGATAAGAGTAGAAGTAGGAAGTCAAGGCAGTAGTGCCATGTGAAATGATAGATATGCTAAGCAGTGAGGAATGATTGGATTTGGGGTATATTTCGAGGTGGGACTGACACGATTTTCTGGTGAGTGGATATGGGGTGAGAAAAAGGGACCAAGGGTGACTAACAAAGTTTTTGCCCTAGGTACTTGGAAAACTGGAATTTTCCTTTACCAAGATGAGAAGACGGGGGTGCGGGGGGGGGGGGGGTGGATGGAGGTGAGGGAGATGTAAGACTTGTGTTTTTGGCTATGTTAAGATGAATCTAAGAAGACATCTGGGGAAACAGGTTACTAAATGTTACTTCCTCATTGCAGGTGTGACGTTGAGTGCTTCAGATCTGGTCACTATGGTACGAGAACGAAAATGCATATTGTGCCACATTGTGTACAGCTCAAAAAAGGTAATAATAGAAGAGAGAGCATCTGAGAGGCTTTATGACTGATTATTTTTTTAGAGACATCCTGTGAAATTTATAGATGGGTAAAAGCTTTTAATGTTGTCTTATTTATGCTTCTTTCTTAAACCATAGCTTGATTCCACTGGCTTCTTTCTCATTACTACCTCATAAAGCCAGTAACTGTATTATGAAAACCTCTACCCAGAATTTGAGGATATTCAAAAGTAGATAATAAAGAGAAATGTAGTTAGTATCCAGTTATAGAGGGTATACTTTAAAATTTATGTTATTTCATATTATACTACTTTGTAATTAGCTAAGGATAGCTAAGGAGACAGCATTACATGTACCTGAATTCTGTTGCTGCCTATGCTTGTGAAAAGTTCAGTCCAGCCGAAATGGATGCTATTAACAATATCCTAGATGTCCACAAGGTGGGGATGTTGCACAAAGAAAGAACAGACATTTTTAAGAACTGAAAGAATTTACCTGTGTTTTAGGGAAATTGGCTGTAAGTTGGCTGTCTCATTTTTTTTTTTTTTTTGGCTTTTTCTTGCCTTTAGCCTTTGCTTTCAAACTAGTGCTGCTAGCTTAAATATCAAGGAATTTTTTTCTCTATGCTTAATTTGTAATTTAAGTGAAGAGAGTTGATAAACAATGTTGAATGCCAGACTGAGGGGTTCGATTATGATCCATCCAGTAGGCTGAGGTGAAGGTTTTTTTTCCCTATATAGGATTTTTGTTAGTGATGGAAAAAAATCACTAACAAAATTTTATATCATGTTTAATAATATATCTGCTGCCTTTAACAAAAGTAAAAAAAACCTTGGCCCTCTAGTTTTAAAAATTTAGACCAGGGTTTATACAAATTGTCAATAAACAAAAATTTCTTATGGTTACTTTAGATGGAAGGGAGATGGGAAATTGAGAAGGTGTGAAATCAACGGACACTCAGAGGTGTCAGCCTTCGGTGGAGCAGCAGACCTGTCTTGCAATGTCTCATCATTTTGCCATTTTAAGTCTTTTGGGCTTGTCTTTTACTACTTTGGTTTGAAACATGTTTTCATTCCTTCGTACTTTTCCATGGATCATAATGAAGTTAAATCAAGGATTCCTGCCTTAGGAAGAGCCAGCTAGAGGTTTTTAAGCAAGAGAATGGCTTGATCTAAGTGTTCACATTAATGCAGTCTAAGAAATGTAGAGTTGGGTTAGTTGAAAGAGATAACTCTGATACTTATTTTTATTTTTTTTATTTATTTATTTTTTTTAGCTGAGCCATCCTGCTACCTGTTGGCAGCTCAGCGGCTGCTCAGCTCGGGCTGGACTTGAACTGCTGTTGCTCAGAGCTCAAACTCTTGAGCAAGCTCTTAACCAACTGAGCCACTCGGCCGGCCCTCTGATACTTATTTTTAGATAGATCGTGAACAACTTATGTTGAAGCAGTGCTCTCTTCTAGTTTCCTAAACTATTGGATTGTCGGAAAAGTCATGACACATTTTTGCAACGAAAAACATAGAAAAAATACGTCATGACTTTTCCGACAACCCCAATAGTATAACCTTGGTTTTTCCAGCTACACCGTGGAGGAGAAAAGGAGCTAGACCAGGGGTCGGCAAACTTTTGAAACAAGAGCCAACCCTATCCCTCAAAACAATTTAAAAATTATTCGAGAGCCATAAAACAAATGAAATCACCATTATATGAATAATATCCTTTAAAAATTTTATAAATGAAACTATGATAGTTTTATTTTCATTTTCAATTTTACTTCAGAGACACATGTACGTACCCAAAGAGCCACGTGTGGCTCGCGAGCCACAGTTTGCTGACCCCTAATCTAGGGTGACTTCAGTATGAGCTGTACATATACTACGTCCCTGAGTATCCTCGTGCTCATTAACTTATGAAAGACTGAGAAACCGGAGTTATAAATATTAAAAAAGATTTTTTTATATTGTTCAGTGTTTTCCAAATTTGGTCAGCCACCAAATCCTTTTTCCCCCTTCTTTCCCTTTTTAAAAATATAATACTGATTAATAGAAAAGGAGCTAAACAGAAGCTTGGTAACTAAGCGGGTATGCATTTGGGGCTATTACTTTCATCCTGTGCCTGTGGATCTTTACCAGTTATTTTGAGAGCTCAGTTGTCTCACTATTTGCATTCATTCCTTGGAGGATGATAGGAGAGAATTTTGCATGTAAATTTAGGAAAAGGTTTATGAAGTGTTTTAGACAATCCAAAGTCACGTTAAAACTAATTTTGAATGATAACATTTTTATAATTGAAATAGAATATAGAATTGGTTTTTATATGAGAAAATAACCCGTTTTAGTGAATACTATTTTGGTCAGGAATGGTTTCATCGCAAGAAACAGAACCCACTTAAATTTAACTCAAGAAAAGGGTATTTGGCATATGTGAATCTAATCCAAGGAAAAACTGAACAACAGGAAGCATAGGGATTGGAGTAGGTGTTATGTATTGTTTATGAATTTTTTTCATTCTATGTTATGTCACTAACTCAACTCAGTTTTCAGTTCTGTAAGTATTCTAGTTAGTGGCCAAGCAGTTGTAGCTAGAAGGTGTCACAGGTAAAGCTGCCCGTTCCAAATGAAGCATTTATAGTGATAGGAAGGAAATGATGGTCATCCTCAGTAAAATTTCCATTTAAAGTAAAGAAGTGTTTTGAATCACAACCCTGTTTGTTACACTATAGTAGATAACTTAAAATAAGACTAGGTTGTTGGGTTACTGTATGGTTTTTGACAAACTATATAATGACAAGTCTCAATCCACAAGATGCTTACGACATGGCATGGTATTTGAAACACTGGTGTTGGTGTCAGATCGGCCAGGGTTTTTGAGTCCTAGTTTGACCACTTGATTATCTGTGACTCTGAGAGGGCAAGATTGGGTATATTTTCACCCTTACCCCTTCAGTGCCTAGCTCTGTTCTTGAGAAATATTTGGTGAATGAGTTAGCTTCTCTGCATGCTTGTGTCTGTATGAAGTTAATAATACTCCCTCAGCTGTGTTTTGCAGTTCACATATGAAAATGTTTGAGGCACTTAAGCACAGGGCATAGTTATATAGTAATACTCAACAATTGTAGTAGCCCTTTTATCATAAATGTAAATAGCCCTTCTCTAATTATGGCATGCTGGCTATATATGCTTTGGCGTGACATAGGGATAGACATTTATAGCTTTTTGAGTTTGTTGAGGTGTGTGCATGTATGTGCACATATTTTTAAGTGGAAGCTCTTCCCCACATTTTTAGTTTTCTTCCCACGAAGGGTGGGGTCGAGGGAGGAGAGACCCTAAATTTTCAAACTTTTCATTAGAACCAAACAAATCAGTTAGGGGGAGTGGGCAGTGGAGACGAAGACATATTGAGTAGCTGTGTTCAAAGAAGTTTTAAAATCTTGCTGGTCAATCATAGAGAGGTTCTGTTCTACCTGTAACTTTGATCTAGAACTTATGTATCCATCTGTTAATTCAACAGATACAACTATTATGCCAGGCCCCAGCCAAGTCATGAGTAAGAGTTGTAACTTAATCTTGAGAAACTCTTGGTTGAGTGGGGAAAAAGAGTGTGGAGAAAAGTTGTCAAATAGTTGAGGTTATATATGATTTCAGAGAGTTGGGTTTTTTTAAAAATAAAATTTAGTAAGTTCCTTATATTGGGATAGAATTTAGCCCACATAGTTTATCTTAAAGTGTTTGCCTCCTAGAAGCAATATATTGTACTTTCTAGCCTTGTTGGAAAGCCACTTAAATAGGTCTTTCTTAACAGTTTCCTCATTTAAAGATAAAATATGTCACAAACATAGCTAAAGAATTTAATAAGGGACCGATTTCAATATTGAATTGAGAATAGTAACCACAACAAACCCTTTGACACAAGAAGCTTAAGTCCCAATTGTTGATTGAACAGGAACACAGGAATTTTTTCCCCAAAGCAATCCCCTTAGTTTAATCTGCTTTCTTTAATTTTGAAGGAGATGGACGAACACATACGGAGCATGTTGCATCACAGGGAACTTGAGAACCTGAAGGGCAGGTATGGGAACGGCTGTCTTCCATGAACTTGTGAATGTGGGGTATCTGAGTGCTGAGACCTGTCTGCTCTTTTTACAGTAATCCTTCATAAATGAATATTGTGTTATGGTATAGAACTATCTTTTAGAATTAATAGCAAGTACAGATTTACTTTTGGCATTCAAAAAGCATAAATCTTTGTGCATCTCAGATGTGTAGAATTCACAGCAGCTCTAGCAAGCAGATGACAACAAAGGTGTGTCGGGATGAGCTGATTCTCTCATTAGTGAGCTTTGTCATTCTACACACCAGCCCAGCAACTAGGACATTTCATATTATTGCCTCAGCAGTGTTACAAAGCATTGCGTGCAGTAAACCTTTAGTATTGCTGGAATAGTCTGAGAAGCCCAAAGTCTGCTAGAGAGCACTGAACCTCATTAGTGTAAATATACTCAAAGTGCAAACCTTCAGTATTTAACGATGCTATTTTGTGATGTAAAGCTTGAGATGTTTAAGGAAAGAAAATCTAATAAGTAAGCACCTTTAAAAAATTAAATGGAGCATATGTGTATAGTCCATGTCTTGCCTTCCCCCGCCCCCCCCACACACACATCTATGGTTCGTTCCTTTTTTGATGTTTTGACTTCTGTGACTTTGAAACACAGAAACATTGGGAAACTGACAAATATTAATTATATTTTATTCAGTGCATAATAGTTATAAGCGTTGATCAGGATGCCAATCTAAGTCATTTGAAGTTATCTATATTTTATCTGTATTTTAAATAGTACAGTTTTAGATTGTGTGGTTGAATTAATATGTTATTAAACTTTCTGCAACTGTTTAGCATATTAATAGAATTTTTTCATGGTCTCAGTCCCTTACTGTGTCAAGGTTAGTTCTTCGCAGCAGTGTGAAAGAGGTCTTCACTCAGATATAGTGTGGAGAGTCCTTATAATACCTTGACTATATATGATCTTTAACTCATTATCATTGGAATCCTATGAAATACAGTCAATCTTTGATTATATGTGAGATATTTTAATTACTTAATCCCATTTCCAACAGACTTCCTTCTGGAATTCACCTTATTCTTGGCTATTTACCTGCCACCCGGCTATATTATAAAATCAAACAAAACAAATTAAGTCAAGTAAATCTAGTCATTAGGAGAGAAGCCCATTTTATTCCAAGACTAATGCCTTGTTTTATTCAAAGATCACTAATCAGCTATTTAAAACATTTAAAAAAATTTTTGGTTACTTTAGTTTCATGTTTATAATCAGTACAGAATCATAAAAAGTAAAAAATGTAAAAGTCATCTAATCTGCCTTCCTCCAGCCCCAACTCCTAACAGTTTGGTGTATATCCTACCCAAACCTTTTTCTGTGTGTATACATAGATTTATATTTAGCTGTACACACATTTTGTTTTGTCTTATTAACATAACTCAACCACATTCCATATTATAGTTGTTCCGTAACTTGTTTTTCCTCTCTTTCCACCCATCAACTTAACTGTGCCATGGGGCTTTTGTCTACCATTTTCAGTTATTTGGAGCATTAGTCAGATAATTAGGGAGAAAGTATTAGAAGCCTCTGAACTGGCAATATAAATGTGAGCTTTAGCAACCAAACTCGTTTCATTTAGAGGAGAGCACTTTAGTACTTATTTACTAATTTTTTCGGATACGGTGCTAACAAGTTTTATATGGTTTTCTGGCCTGTAACAAATTATTAGGGAAAAGGCAAGCAGGTAGGAAGGAAAAAGAGCTGACAAAACTATAAAAAACAAACGAAATTCCAAATCATTTACTTACTTGGAGTATTGACTGTAGGGACAAATTGTCATCACTAATTTGTACCACAAGAAGAAACAGTTATCAGTCATTATTCCTTTTCCTTCCTATCATCAGTTTGTGACTATTTCCTCTGGATTTCATGTTTAAATACTGGCTTTCTGTTTCTCTTTATATTTGTAGCACTATAATTTTTACTTGTGATCTGGTTAAAAATGTAAAGAGCACATTTTTAAAGCTTTGAATGCAAGCTTTATTGAGAAGTAATTTGTCTTATTTGGTTCACAGTTGTGGACATCTGGAGCCTTTCCCTATTTTTTCCTAATATGCTTGTTCATATGTGTGCCCTGTAAGTAGTTTCTACAGATAGATGCTATTAAAAAGGCACAAACCTTTATTTATCAACCAGCTGTCGCGGTATAGTTAGAGCAAGCTTAATAAAGAAAAGCTTATGGGCAGAATATCTGAAGGCTTTGCCTTTCACACATGAGAGGAAATTGTGTGGTGGTAACAGGATGAAGCTAATTTGGGCCCTTCTCTGAACACCCTGGGGGAAATTTTTGCCTTTATTAGTCAAGAAGTAAAGCAGTACTTTTTCTCCAACAGTTAGTTTTTATATTTATACAAAGCAATAAGTATTTTAACTAGTTATTAATAAAGAACTGAAAAATAGGATCATTAAAATATTAATTTGCTGCTTGCTTTTGTGGTTTTTTGAACACCATCTGTGAAAGCATGATGCGTATTGTGTGTAGAGCAGGTAATTTGCTTGGCTTCAGACACAGACATGTTGGGATTTTCAAGAGATGTGATTTACCTCGCCTGTTCTTTTCCTGGATAAACATGGATTCTCTTCTCGTTTTGAAGTTTCTTGTAAAGCTTATCTTTATTTATTTAATTTTTTAAACTAGATTTCATTTATAAGAAAAATGTTAGGGGTTTCTGTTTTTTGGTTTTTTTTAATTGGGGAACTGGGGGAGGGAAACAGCGTTGGGGAATCAAGGAAAGGGAACAGACAAGTTGCTGTCCTTTTTGTTCTTCAGTCTAGTTGTGGAGGATGTCGCTTCACTGGCCCATGTTGGTATTATCATTGCACTCTNGGGGGGGTGGATGGAGGTGAGGGAGATGTAAGACTTGTGTTTTTGGCTATGTTAAGATGAATCTAAGAAGACATCTGGGGAAACAGGTTACTAAATGTTACTTCCTCATTGCAGGTGTGACGTTGAGTGCTTCAGATCTGGTCACTATGGTACGAGAACGAAAATGCATATTGTGCCACATTGTGTACAGCTCAAAAAAGGTAATAATAGAAGAGAGAGCATCTGAGAGGCTTTATGACTGATTATTTTTTTAGAGACATCCTGTGAAATTTATAGATGGGTAAAAGCTTTTAATGTTGTCTTATTTATGCTTCTTTCTTAAACCATAGCTTGATTCCACTGGCTTCTTTCTCATTACTACCTCATAAAGCCAGTAACTGTATTATGAAAACCTCTACCCAGAATTTGAGGATATTCAAAAGTAGATAATAAAGAGAAATGTAGTTAGTATCCAGTTATAGAGGGTATACTTTAAAATTTATGTTATTTCATATTATACTACTTTGTAATTAGCTAAGGATAGCTAAGGAGACAGCATTACATGTACCTGAATTCTGTTGCTGCCTATGCTTGTGAAAAGTTCAGTCCAGCCGAAATGGATGCTATTAACAATATCCTAGATGTCCACAAGGTGGGGATGTTGCACAAAGAAAGAACAGACATTTTTAAGAACTGAAAGAATTTACCTGTGTTTTAGGGAAATTGGCTGTAAGTTGGCTGTCTCATTTTTTTTTTTTTTTTGGCTTTTTCTTGCCTTTAGCCTTTGCTTTCAAACTAGTGCTGCTAGCTTAAATATCAAGGAATTTTTTTCTCTATGCTTAATTTGTAATTTAAGTGAAGAGAGTTGATAAACAATGTTGAATGCCAGACTGAGGGGTTCGATTATGATCCATCCAGTAGGCTGAGGTGAAGGTTTTTTTTCCCTATATAGGATTTTTGTTAGTGATGGAAAAAAATCACTAACAAAATTTTATATCATGTTTAATAATATATCTGCTGCCTTTAACAAAAGTAAAAAAAACCTTGGCCCTCTAGTTTTAAAAATTTAGACCAGGGTTTATACAAATTGTCAATAAACAAAAATTTCTTATGGTTACTTTAGATGGAAGGGAGATGGGAAATTGAGAAGGTGTGAAATCAACGGACACTCAGAGGTGTCAGCCTTCGGTGGAGCAGCAGACCTGTCTTGCAATGTCTCATCATTTTGCCATTTTAAGTCTTTTGGGCTTGTCTTTTACTACTTTGGTTTGAAACATGTTTTCATTCCTTCGTACTTTTCCATGGATCATAATGAAGTTAAATCAAGGATTCCTGCCTTAGGAAGAGCCAGCTAGAGGTTTTTAAGCAAGAGAATGGCTTGATCTAAGTGTTCACATTAATGCAGTCTAAGAAATGTAGAGTTGGGTTAGTTGAAAGAGATAACTCTGATACTTATT